TTGTCGAGTCTGGAGCAGGCCAAGACGGAGCTCGAGATCATTGGTGATCAACTGGGTGCTGCGCAATGCATGCACGGCATCGGTGACACACTGCGCATGCTAAATCGGAATGACGACGCACTGTCGAATTTGGAGCAAGCCAAGGCGGAGTTCGACAACATCGGCGATCGGCTGGGTGCTGCACAATGCGTACAGGGCATCGGTAACACATTGCGTATGCTCAATCGGAATGAGGATGCGTTGTCGAATTTGGAGCAGGCCAAGGCGGAGTTCGAGAATACCGGCGACCGGCGGGGTGCTGCGCAATGCATGCACGGCATCGGTGACACTCTGCGCATGCTCAATCGGAATGACGATGCGTTGTCCAATTTGGAGCAGGCCAAGGCGGAGCTCGAGACCATTGGTGATCACCTGGGTGCTGCACGCTGCATGCAGGGCATCGGTAACACACTGCACATGCTCAATCGGTATGATGATGCGCTGTCGAATCTGGAGCAAGCCAAGGCGGAGTTCGAGAACATCTGCGACGGAGCGGGTGCTGCACAATGCATGCAGGGCATCGGTATCACACTGCGCATGCTCCATCGGTATGATGATGCGCTGTCTAATCTGGAGCAGGCCAAGGCGGAGTTCGAGACCATCGGCCACCGGTTGGGTGCTGCACAATCCATGCAGAGCATCGGTATCACACTGCGCATGCTCAATCGATATGACGAAGCGCTGTCGAGTCTGGAGCATGCCAAGGCGGAGTTCGAGACCATCGGCCACCGGTTGGGTTCTGTACAATCCATGCAGAGCATCGGTAACACATTGCGTATGCTCCATCGGTATGATGATGCGCTGTCGAGTTTGGAACATGCCAAGGCGGAGTACGAGACCATCGGCGAACGACTGGGTGCTGCACACTGCATGAAGAGCATCGGTGTCACACTGCGCTTGCTCAATCGGTATGACGATGCGCTGTCGAGTCTGGAGCAGGCGAAAGCAGACTTCGAACTCATAGGTGACCGGCTCGGAATTGCCGAATGTGGGAGGTGTCTTGGATATCTCGCCATCGATCAAGGCGATTCAGAGCGAGCCAGGTTAATGTTTGAGCAAAGCCTGGTCATCTACCACGAGATTGGCGTCACCAGTTGTACAAAAGAATGTCGGGGAGTGCTGGAGGAATTGCAGTCCCTGACGCCTTCATCCAACGTGTAAACGAGATGAACGGCTTTCTGGAAGATGGGCAAGACGTCGGGGTGGGATCTTGGATGGTACGGCTCCGGTAAGTTGTGACATGGTTTACATATATATTCGAAACCGCCAGTCAGGCCAGGAGAGGGCACTGGGAAGGAAGTGTATGTAGGTAAGGAGCTACAGGAATAATTGTAATTCGTTCCTCGTGACCGTGAAATGGGAACCTTTGACTGCCAAATATAGCCTCAGCTTGCCAAGCTCGGCACGATTCACCCTGAGTGCAACCTCACCGTGCCGATCCATTCTCGCTGTACCGTGACGGTTTCTGGCACACGAACCCCCCTCATCAGTGGTCGGCGACAACGGCGTGCGAGAGGGGAAATTCGTGTCCAAGGTGACGCCTATCAGCCGGATAAGCCCAGTCACCTGAAAGGGCCTGCAGAGGAACGCGTGCCAGAAGGGGAGCAAGAGCGCACGGAAGCGTCACAAACGCTACAACGTTGCTCGAAGGTTGTAAGGCCCTTAGGGCGCCCAAAACCCCCTCTGGAACTCCGAGAGCACCTTCAGACGCTGCAGCGCAGTATACTGTAAAGGCAACAGTTCGTACCTGGGGAAAGTGCCGGGCTCTTACGATTGCTTCCGCTACGTGGGACCGTCCGAGTCATCCCCGGGCCTCAACCGTTCTTTCATCT